ATGTTGATGAATAGACAATTGCAACATCTGAATATATCTGCGTATATACACATACTGTATATATTTTTTTTTATCTTATCCTATCTATCCAGTGAACATGGAGTATTTTAGGATCACAAAAATTTTTTTTAAAAATCTCTTGTAACAATGACTTCTCTGCCCTCCAACTTTTTCTCTTTATGCTGATGGTGAGTCTCCAGATGGGTTTTGAGGGGGGGCAGTCTGAGTCAAATGTTCCATAGATTGTCCCACAAAAGTCATGTTGGACACCTTGCTGAAAAACTTAAAACTTCTAATTATTTTTCCCCTCAAACACTGGATTATGAACCCTAACACTTAACAACTGCACATTAACATACTGTGAACGCAACCTTTGCCATTAGACTGTTTATATCAGGTATAAGTTGCATTTGCAGCCAAATAGATGAGGAAATGTTCAAATATTAATATAAAACTCATAATATGCTTTGAGAAAACAACAATGTATCATATGGACTGGTATAGGCACTAACATCTATAAATAGAATTTAGAGATTTGCTTCAAGTAAAAAGTCTTGGTTGTAACACACTTGATTAGGTGCATTAGGCCCAAAAAACTCCCAGGATTCATTGCAGTTCTCAGAAGCAGGCCTTTTCAAGTGGCAGAAAAATCACTCTTGATAGAATATCCTAGTCAGTGTAGGTTATTACCAAATATGAATATTACTATGGAATACAATGTTTCCTAATTATAAAATCTTGTTAATATGATTGTATACATGTTCAAATTGGAAAATTCACTTTTTTTAACGTATTGAATGAAATTCCAGGGTGACACTGATAATAGTGGTAGTAATGATTCAACAAAGCCAAACTAATTATACTATACCACTATACAAAGTATACACCTGATGTAAACCTGGTCTGTTTCCTGTTTTCACAAATCCAACTGACTAAAACACTTACACTCTACTGGTATCTACTTGTTAATCAAGTCCAGGTTTGAGAAGTCGAAATTGTGGAGCTCAATGAAACTCTTTTTTTTTTTTTTGCTTTTATAAATACAGTAGAGGTCTTATAAATTTGACAGTGGGTTTAAAGTAGGTCCTTTTTCTTTATAAGCTCTGTAGATGTTTTCTTCTCATATTCATGCTCTGTCCAACGCTTCAGTCACCTCCTGTCAGCACCAGTTGGACTGCTCTCAGCTTCTGTCTGAAAGAACAACATCACTTCACATTTGACACATGTACAGTTTTATTGTTCTGCCATGTACACACTGCAGCTGCTATGCCTTGTTAGCGTTTCAGGTTTATTTTTTAGTAATAATTTGATAAAGTCATACATGCCCGCATAGATATTTGCACTGTTAATATGTATATATTGTTATCACCATGGAAACAAGATGCTCATTTATCAAATCAATGGTCTCTTTTTGACGTTTCTTTTATTCTTCCATTGAATCACACTCAAACTAAATGGCAACGTGAGGATTGTATTGTTACATAAAGTCACCAAACATACTTCATCAGTCTGAAAGCATTTCAGCCAACTTTCAAATCAAAAGAACTTCATCTTGGTTTGTCTTTACTTTTAGGTTTAGAAGACATTCAACACACACACACACACACACACACACACACACACACACACACACACACTCAGCTTCAGCTGCTGGAGTGTACAGGGCTCACAAACAGACAGCAATAAATAAATGAGGAAGTACAGAATAAGAACTGAAGTCAGTGGAAGTAAGTCTTTGCTTGGACTTTAGGTTGATGTGTCAATCCTCAGAGCAATGATAACAAGAAGAAGTCAAACCAACAACAGCAATTAAAGCAAAGCATCTATATGTTGTGTGTGACGGCTACAAACTTAAAGGATAAGTCTGGTATTAGTCTGTATTTCACTAGTGTCAACAAATGTAATGAAAAGACCGGAACCAAAAATGTGTTAGTCTGGCTGACTCCCCTGACCCGCCCCCCCACTCCACCTCCACCCCACACCACCGCTCTGTGTCTTAAAAACCCAGCTCACAAATATAAAGTTTCTGTTTGTTCTTTTGTCATTTTCTAAAACAGCTGGTCACTGTAGTTTTCAACAAATGTTACTCAAACAGGAGTAAATAGAAATTATACTTAATCTAAATATGAAAATTGAATGAAAAATAACACAAACAATGAAAAGCCACAATTTTGTACTAAATTTTAAAATCTTTTCTGCTCTCCCAGAAAAGAGCCAAAGGGAAAAGGAAAAGGTAAATTATAAAGAGGAACTCTTGATGAAAAGACGCAGGAAGAAAATGAAAGTAGTTCTAAGGTTCATTTGTTTATGGTGATGGTTAAAGTCACAATCAAAGAGCAGAGGCCAAGGTGGCTCCACTTCCCACAATGCAACTTGTTACCATCTTTCTTTATACCCTCTAAGCCTGGTAAATGCCCATGTTTCTTAAACTCCACACTTCCAGTTTGTAACTCTGACTGTCTTGTATAAATCTACAGTCTCCACGGCTCCAGCGCCCAAGCTGAGATAATGCTGATGACATCACTATGACATCATCAGACTTGAAAGCTCCTCTAGAGCTACAGAAGACATTACACCACTGTTTTCACAGGCAGGTTTGTACACCGTTGAGTTAATACAGCTCAACTCATTTTAACTAAAGAATCAGGACAAATAAAAGCTGAAAATTGGGACTGATATTACACCATTACAACATGATGATGAAGGAACATGTCACTCAGTGTGACAGTGCGGCTCACTGATTTGTTTGTAATCGTTTTGGGAAAAAGTGGAGGTCTATGGCACAAAGGAACAAGATATATCGATATATCTGTGATACACACGCACATTCATTGTTGGTTCAGGCTTTTTCACGGGATTTGTTGACACTAAGAAAAATACAGCCAACCTTATCTTTACAAGGCTTCATGGAAGAGAGTAATATGAGGAGAAGCAGCACATGTGAAAGTGGAGGGTGACACAGAGATGACAGGAGCTACAGGTACAAGGACAGTCGGGTTAAGTGCTCGATCAGAAACATTCCACATCACTACTTTCTTTCTCAATACACACACTGTATATACACACACAGAGGCGGCTGCTCTGTGACAGATCAAATGTGAAATCATGACACACGTTAGGACAGACACATGAACAAAAAAAAGGGCAGATGCATCATGGGAAGACAAAAGGTGTGCTCACACAGCCTTTGTAAACAGGTCAGCAGGTTGATGTTTGGCTTTAAAAAGAGTCCATGATGATACACACTTTCACTCCTCCCAATTTATCCTTCATGTAACATTAATCTCATCTGTACGGTGGCCATTCTCCAGCTGAATCGGTGCATGTACAGCAGGTTTAGGTGGACCTACGTATTAAATGCTTTGAAATTTTTTGACTTTTTTTCCGGTCCAAGCATGACTTTTTCATCTCCTCTATATACAAATGTTTACAAGAGTTCTTCAAGAAGAGGCCTGTGCGTGAGGCGAAATGTCCCATATGCCCCCTATGATTTTGATCCACCTCTGGTGTGTCGAACCGTCACCACACCACAGCAGCCAAAAGGTGAAAAGACATGAAACACCGAAAATATAATCCCGCAAAAAACAAAGGGTGCTATCTTTGGTCACAAAAAGAGCAAATCAAACACAATGTGAAGGAAGGAAGAGTGTTAAAGCACAAAATACTGTTCCATTATCTGACAAAAAGAAGGGAAAGAGTCCAGTGATCAGCAAAGACAACAGGAGGGGAGCTGAGGAAGCGTACGTCACCAAAGGCTTCAGTGGAAAATGTAGGGAGAGGATCTGTGGAAGCAGCTACTCAGTTTAAGCTCTCCTCCTCCTCCTCCTCCTCCTCCTCCTCCTCCTCATCTCCTTCTTCCTCCTCCTCCTCATCTTCCTTCTCCAAGTCATCCTCACAGTAGCGCTGGAGCAGTCGGTGCAGGTGCTGCTGCAGGGCATCGGGCTGCAGGGCGTCTGGGGTGTCATCCACACGCTCCAGGTGCACGTGCTTCCCCTGGGCATCCCTCACCACAGTCCTCTTCTGGGTTCGTGACTTACGCATCTGGCTTCTGCAGGAAGAACAAAGAAGCTGACGTCACATCCAGGTACCTGAGTGTTCACTGACCAGATACTTGTCATCCTCTGGGTTCACTCTGTCAGGGGTTACCTGGGCTACTAACGTCTGCAGTTCAATACTCTCCTGTGGAGGTCCAGGGACAGCAAGATATAAATTTTATATTTTCCATCAAATTGAAATTCTATTTTCCATTTGTGTGCATGATGTGTGAAACTATTTTGTTTGAAAATGAATAAATACTTCCAGGTTCAAATGTTCAAATTACATACATAAATAGGACATCTTCAAATAAATCCTGTCAAATTATGTCATATGTTCATGAAGAAATACTTTTTACTGTTTTTATCTTCATTTTATGTTTTTTTATTAATTAAATCTAATTATAGTTAGTTTAATTTATTTTGGGGTTAGTTGTTCAATCCTTGTTAAACCTTTTGTTTTTGTGTGTTTTGTTGTCAAATATCATAATTATATATTTTTACACTTCGTTCTTTTTTAACAATCAAAATGCATGTTTATGAAATTTTATATTATCCTGCTAATTTTCACAATAAAAGATCATTTCCTTTACTCAAGCAGTATTTTTTTTCACAATGTAATTTTTCACAAATTTTGAATTTACATATATTTAGTATGAGCTAAATTGATATTTAAACGTGACCCAAAACCAAATGAGCACAGTGAACAGGTTAAGAGAGAACAATCAAAACACACACCATGCAACTCAACCCACATTAAATGTATCTGATCAAATCCATCTTTCAACCTGGGCTGTATTTTCATAGTTTTGGTCATCGGTTATGAAAACATTTTATTCACTGGTTTATTGCTTATGAAGCAGCAACATGTCATAACTGTTCACTGCGCAGCTGCATGTTCACACACTTTTAGGATGAGGGGTTAAACCAGTAAGTAGAATATCGAATGGATAATGAAGAGAAGCGATAGTGATATACCGAAACTGGGGGCTTGTTTACAGCCACTATGTGTACAATATGAAATTTCCGAACGTTTAAAAATATTAGAATGAATAAGAATGAACAATGACCAAAACTACAAAAATACTTTGATTGTAAAGAGCAGTCTTCTAATTACCACTTACCCTGAAGAGTATGAGTCAAAATCAAGAAGCTACAAGTTAGGAGAGTGGAATCACACCATGCTGCCATGTTAAATGCTAATAAATAACCACCAGGATCTTAATAAACACCCGTGTCTTTATGGTCATTTCACACTCTCATGCTGAAGTCCAACCTTCTAACCACAGAACCGTCATCCTGCACAATCTCTTTCTCTACTACATGAGGCAGGAGAGCTTTCCCAAAGCCTCCAGCATAACTCAAAGCCTGGAGGGGAAAGAATGGAGGAGGAGAAATGACAGACAAACAATGAAAACCTCAGAAGTTTAACAGTAGTAGCTGACTAATTTTAAAAAACAGATGTTAGCACGTAGTGGAAGCGCTTGTAAAGATACAGCTGCATACCCCCCGAACAGTTCATATTCAAAATACCTGCTAAAAGCATGAAACCACCTCTTGATAGAATATTTCTTTCTAGTTTGGACACACTGACCTTCTCAAAGTCCTCTCTGGCTGAGGGGAGATCTGCAGCCAGCGAGGGGTCTCCCGTCTGTTTCTCCATCCTCTCGCCTCTCACCACTGTCGTCTTGACAACCTTGCTGACCTTTCGACCCTGCACTGGCTCCATCTCAAACTCTGATGCTGCGGTGGAGCACAGGGCCAGGGGCTCAGAGAAGGTCAGCTGGAGAGAAAACGACAAAATGTGAACGGACCAGGTGTTATGTGCTATATGTTGTGTACTTTGAGGTTTGTAAGGACACCAGCAGGTGGACGTCACTGGTTCAGAGTGAAAGGTTTCAACAGTGACCACATGAACTACAATGACATCAGGTCAAAATCTACCTAGTCCGATACTTTGGTTAATGACCACATACCAACCACTTGGTTTAGTGCTAATCTGCACGTTAGCATGCTAAACTCAGATGCTGATCATGCTACCTGCTAAACTTCAGCATGTTAACATTGTCACTGTGAGAAATAATGTATGCTACATTACATATAAAGTTGTATGTGAGGAATTTACAGCTAATATTTTGTCAAACAAAACACTAAATACATGCACACCTGTAAAATGCTCTAATCACAATATTACCTCATTTTCCCTAATAGTAGCAGTTAGCAACATTAGCTAGCTAATTTGCAAAGAACTTTGGGAACTATATGATGAACTACATGTAGTTGTTGTAGTAGTCTATAACAGCAGAACACCAGGTGCAGCCTCAGACTACACTGATTATATATAATTCAATGGAAACCCAGAAATGAATAAAGTGCATTCATATGAAAGTCATGTTTGGATGGCACTGACCTCTCTCTGATCTCCCTCACTGTGGAGCACTGTTCTCTTCACCACTCTGGAGACAGTGTCCCCCTCCTCGATCTGCACCGTCTCCTGGTGAGAGCCCTCAATGGTCACTTCCTGTGTCTCCATGCCATCTGCAGATACGCATTTACGAATCACCTTCCGTGTGATCTGGTGAAGACAGAAAGGGTATCACTTTTATGTAAAAGCTAGAGACTAAGATAGAGACTAGAGCTAGAGTCTAGAAATAAACACTTTTCATCACTTTACACTGTATGGAATAATGCTTTGATTTTTAGTGGAACATTTGAACATGTTCTCTTACTTTCTTAACGACCATGTTCCCGTGCTCGTCCGTGTACTTCTCCTCTGTGACCGTCTGTGCTGGGATATCTGGAAGGTTATCAGCCTGTACAAACACAAAACACATGCTGTCAATTCACACAGATTACAGTCCTGCACATGTGAGCAAAATCAAAGCACATACTGTCTCCATCAAAAAAAGCATTTCAAGCATTTTCAAATAAAACACATCACCCAACATTAGTCAATGATGACACAAAACACCAAATATACTTGAAAGCCCCTATGTGAAGAATTTTAACCTGATTAAAGCACAATTCAAATCAAATCAATCAAAAGTCAGAATTTTAAATCCTTCAAATTATGGCTTTAATTTTTTAATTTTTCCATATTGAACCATGATGACACAATCAAAGGACAAAAACATCAAACAAACAAATGGTTTAAAAGGCAAAAAACAGTTTTATGTGAAGCAGATAGAGTAAATATGTGCTGATATGTGGTAGAAGATTTACCTGGCAGGTCAAGTCCATTCAAAAACAACAAGGAGTACTAAACCTGTGTTACCCACTAACCCTGCATTACTTCACAGTGTGCTGAGGCTGCACAGCTGCATCATGCTTGTTTACCTGAATGATAACTCTGCGTCGCACCACCCTGGTGGTCAGCACCTCCTCCTCTGAGCTATCAGAGGACAGCATCCCTAGTTCCTCTGCTATCTCCTGGTGGATAGCACAGAGCCCTCATAGGTCAATACAACAAGTCTGCACTACGTCACCACAGCTGTTCCTTCCTTTCTCTTAACCTCACTTTTATGTTTGCTTTCCAAAAAGGTTCGTATACACATGAAATGAGGGAATAAAATCAAATTGTATGGTATGGTTGTACACAAATTTGATGTGAGATGAAGAGAAGGCAGAGTTATGCAAAAACATTCAACTGAAATAAACATGCAGATGGAAACCAGTGTGCGAAATATGGGTGACTCATGCGGATGATTTATGCCAAACAGAAACAAATAAAACAAAGAAATTATGTTAAATACAATACACAATATTACAATATATGTAATTTACTGTGTCATAATGAATAGTTATAATGATAATCATTTAGCTTTTGTCTTAAATTAGTTGTTTTTCATCGTGACATGCCACAATAGATTAAATCATAACACAAAAAAGAGGTCCATTTAATTCATTAACAAATAAGAAAACTATGAATTAGGTGTGTAGATTTTCTAGTCAGTTGCTATTCTCCAAACAGTATAAACTTCAAATCTTTAGAAACTGAGAAAAGCACATAGAAAAGGAGCGACCATTAAATCCCTGCTGGGTGACATTTCATTTTATGAGTGCAAATTTAGCATGATCCATAGACTCACAATGGCAACATTCATGTTAAATACACCAAGTTTTTTTTTTTTTTTTGAAAACCTATTTATTTATTCAGGCTTTTAATTAATTCTCTCATATTTTACTATTCTTACTGGTTTCTGTTTTTATTTTCCTTTACATATTTTATCATCTGCTCTACATTTCTTCTATGAAAAGTGCTATATAAAAAGAGTTTATTGTTTTTTTTAAGTTGAAATATAGCAGAGTTTTCCTTTAATGTGTGGCTGATCCAGATTCTGCCTGGGACCCCCCAACTGTCAAAGGGTATTTCGCACACTGATGAACAACAACAAGCACAACTCAAAGGATGCAAACAGGTGCAGATGTGAACACTTAAATATGTCACATATTGTTGAATCTGTTCTGTAGCTTGTAAATGTCACCTGTGTGATTCCAACACATCACACTACCAATGTCAATAATGGCTTTTTACATTTACCGATGATGCAATATTAAATACAGCAACTCATCACAGCTGTTAATATTTCTGTTGTTTGTTTTTTAAGTTTAGGCACTCATGCACACAAAAGCACTACCAGCCTCATTTAGTACATAAAGTGCAAGTTTCTGTGTTTCATCCCCTAAATCTTGAACGCAGCACCACAGCAACCAGCCTAAACCAGGCAAGACACCAGCCAGTGCAGGGTTGTGCTCATGCTCAACCTCTTACCCTTCCCAGGAAGTCGTCATCATTGTAATACCCTGCCTGATCTCTGGAAGGAAGCTCCTCACACACGGGGAGGTCGCCCTCTGTTCGACACCCCCGTGAACCCTCAGAATCATAAGCAAACTCCCCAAGGCTTTCACTGCCAGAAGAGAAGCGCTTATAATCGTCCACTCGGAGGAAAGGGTGAGCAGCATGCTGGGGACTCCCTTTCAGGAAACCAACATCAGGGCTACTCCCAGGTGCTGGGGAAGGTGGCTCGAAGATATGATAGCTAATCTCTGGTTCCAGTTTCACTTCTTCTGGTTCAGAGAAGTCAGAGAAGGCTTGTCTGCAGTCAAAGAACTCCAGGTCCGAATCAGAGTGCTGCGGAGACTCACAACCGACTTTTGGTGGCATCTTTGGTTCATCTGATTCAAATTCCAAGATTGTTTTCTCAAATTCGGAGAGGACTCTGTTAAAGTCTGGAGAAAACTCAAAGTCTTCAGCAGCTTCCGACTCTCTCTTGGTGCTGGCTTCAGTCACAACCTGAGCTGAGTCACTGAACACTGGAGACACTGGACTCAAATCCTTCAAGGAAGCTTGGCTACATTCTGAAACTCTGAGGGTTTGATGTCCTGAAAATACTGCTTCATAATCCGGTGGCACCAGAAACTGGCTTGACATGGGTGAGAAAAGCTCACTGGACTGTGCTTCCTCAGGGGACAACTTTGAATCTGAAAATCCATAAAATCTGTTTGACTTCTCACAGAGTGTGTTCTCAAATGAAGGTAGAACTGGGGTAACAGCTCTGTGGGTTGTATAAGAGTTCGGGTCAGGTAGCTGTAGGGGAACTGGTTTCATTGGCTTGTCATCCATGAACAACACACCTATCTTACTGGTGTCTTGTGCTGCTGTTGTAGCAGACAACAGCTTGCTTTGCACCTCATCGTCTATTTGAAACTGTGTTTCCTCTGGTGTCTGAACAGGAGCCTGTAAGTGAAGTCAATGATATAGAATACAGTGATCTAAATAAATTCACTTTAAATTAGCATACAGGTTGGTATGCACCACTCAACATTTCATTTTACATCCAGCAAAAACATGCAACATTAACCATCTCTATATCAGACTAATAAATCAGAATTGAAGGAAGATTGATTAGTAACATTAAAATATAATATTTTCACATTCTGCACACGTCTCAGCAAAAACGCACTCCATTTTGTTATTGTTGTTTTCTTTTATTATTTCATCATGAAATGTCCCTAATGTGTCACACAGTGTTATCGCTTCATCCAAGTAGCATGTTAATGTCGGACTATCATGCTCTCACTCTTACCCTTTGAGAGGCTGTCTTGCTCTTCAGCTCTCCAGCTCTGACGTAGAGTATCTTGTCTTCCTTTCTTTTTATATCCTGAGCTGGTGAGGGCTTCACTGGAAAGTCTTCCTCACCAACCGAAGTTTGTAATGTTGAGATACTTCCAACCTGTGATCCCCGTTGCATCCATTCATCGTATGACAAAATTTCCAATTCTGATCCTGTACTTATTTGTCCGGCAGGATTGACATGTCCTTCCTTAGACATTGTCTCACTAGTTTGAATTTTGTTAGGAAATGATGAATGCTGCTCAGGTAATAAAGAAGATGTCCCATGATGCAAAAGTTTTGGTTTAGAGACTAACCTACCAGTCTCCTCACAACAAAAACCTAATTCCTCCTCTGACTCAGCAGTTTCAGGACTGAGTGGCCTTGGGCTATCATCAATCCAACAATCAATAGGTAAAGCAACAAACTCAAAGTCTGATGACAAAGACATTGGTGATGATGATCTGTCACAAGGGCTACCATCCATAAAATAAGAAGACAGTATTCTCATAAACTCAGGCACTGGTGAGTCAGGCAGTAGTTTCCTGAACTCATTGATAGATGAGATGGATTCAGGTGAAGATGGTCTCTCAGTCTCAGCAGCTCTTGAGGATGTGACCATAAGCTCACACTCTGAATCTGAACCCGCTGATTCAGGTGATGATGACCTATGTGTAGAAGTGTACTCTTCCAATGATGCCGTAAACTGAGGGATTGGGGAGTCTGGAGAGAGAGACCTGTTCTCATTGAACTCAGGCATCGATTCTGGAGATGATGCTCTTCTTTCAGCAATTTGCATGGTTGATTCAGGCAACATAGGTCTGTAGGTCTGTGGCATATAATCTATATCTGATGCTACAGTTTCAGGTGAAGATGATGCTGATCTCAGGAATCTTACACATTCTGGTAATGCTATTGTAAATTCAGGTAAGGGGGAATCTGGTGAGAGTCGTCTAAACTCATTGACGGATGTTGCAGATTCTGGTGATGATGCTCTTGCTTCTAGTACCATGGCTGAATGAGGGGACATAGGTCTATAGTCTATCAAGGATTCTGGTGAATAACGTAGATCATCATCCTCTGTGTCAGACACTGATACAACCACCCACTCATCATCAGAATCTGTTGTTGCCTCAAGGGCAGGTACTTCAAATGTGTACTTGGCCTCTCTGTATGGAGCTGCTCCTGATGACAACATTTGTTCAATCATTGGTGGAGGTGATTCATAAACAGGTAGGTCAGATATTACTTGTGGACTTTGAGTGCCATCATCAGCTGTGGCTTTTTCTGCTGTAGCAAGTGGATGTGCCACCTCTGAAGATGGTCCTGTGGAATAAGTAGCTTGTTCATTATTGTCTTGCACTTCATCTTGTTCATCATCTGGAACACTCCTTTCATATTCTATCGTGCTGCCAATGAATTGCATAAACCCTGATTTACTGCTGAAAGTTTCCCCAGCATACTGAGGATCACGTACTTGGGAAATTAGCTTCCATAACTCAGCATCATAAATGAGATTATACTCAGCTACCATAATAGCTGACTCCTCAGATGATGTAGGTGCCATTGTTGTTGGAAAAACAGTGCTATCAAAGGTCACTTCAGGGGCAGTCGGGACTTTTAATTCAGTTATTGATAATGTGGGTGCCAATGGTAATTTCTTATCTGATTCAGTAGACTCTGGTGATGCAGACCTATCTT